AGTGGCTCGACCATTGTGCCACATTGTTTCCTTGTCCCCCAATTTTCGGTCCGAACACAATTGTCCCTGCGTGCTAAGGTGCTGCAAAGCTAGAGCTAGTAGTAGCTCATACGTAGTTTGTAATCACAGTTATAAGTTGTAACGTAACGTATCCCGATACGTTCTACTCTATTGTACGTCCGCTCTCGTACAAGGTTATCTCTGCTCACTTGTCGTGTATTGAGTTCCATTATTAGGAGGTTACTATCCCTACATAATTTGGTAGCAGCTCCTCGTTCTATTCGACAACTTTCACTCCAACGGACGATATACGTGACTGGTTTGAAGCTTATGAGCTCTATACCTACGGTAATCTCTATGATGATCGTGCTCGTGCCCGTTTCCTGGGTGCATTCCTTACTGGTGATTCTGCTAATGTTTGGAAGACTCAGTGCTCTAAGGTTAATTACGAAGCTGACAAGGCAATTCTCATTAAGACTTTTGAGAAGTGTCGATTGCCTGATGAAGCTTGGAGTCGGTTTGATAACTACCAGTGGGATCGCATCCAACCATTGTCGGTTTATGCAGCTGCCCTGTCACGATACTTGAACGAGTACAACGACTTGCTGAAGCCTGATTGTCGACTTTCACTACCTGCCAGAGAGACTCTTTTGGTTGAGAAGTTATCTAAGTTGGCTACAGGCGCGGCGAAGGCTGAGATTCGTCGAGCCCGTCCTCGGAGTGCTGCCGATGTTTGTGACCTTTTGGGTGCCTACGTTGACAACAGTGATCAGACTGGTATTAATGCTGTCCGTTCTATAGAACCTAAGTTAGATGCCAGCATTGAGATGTTATCCAAGCTACTTGGTGCCTTTGAGGGTGCCCAGTCGCGACAAGCGGAGCAGTTTGATCGACTTTGCGCCGTTTTGGGTAATCCACAGCCAAAAGGCCAACCTAATGGACAAGCAGTACAAAATGGTCAACAACGACGACGAGGTGTTCGTAGATGTGGTATTTGTTCTGGCCCTCATCTAACTCTGGAGTGCTTCCACAAGAAGTTTACTGTTGGTTGTGCTATTTGTGGGACACTGAGCACTTCGCCCGTAATTGCCCGTTGCGTACTACCTTCTTGGCTGGTCTTCA